CCCTTTGCTCCTAGTAGCGAACATTGCTCCTAGTAGTATGGCCAGGAGCGCCTAGTAGCGTCCTTGTTCCTAGTAGCGATGCCTTTTGCTCCTAGTAGCAAACATTGTTACTATAGCAAGAATGCTCCTAGTAGTAATGCCCTTTGTTACTAGTAGCGATGAACTTGTTACTAGTAGCTTCTTGTTACTAGTAAGGCCAGGAGCCCCTAGTAGCGATGCACTTGTTAGGGATGCCGGTTCATTCAGGTTCGCTAACATGAAGCCCCTGAGTTAGCGAACGCCACACTGAACTACTTGTTGTCTCTGAACTGGCAGTAGCCACGGGCCGTTCCACTTGGCAGCTGTGAGCGCTACAGGAATGGTGCCGTTCCCTCCTTTGAGTCCAAGTGCCGGTGCAATGAACTTGGCGTCGGCCGCCTCGGCCGTGCAAGGCTGTGGAAGCCAGACTTGGATGGGGTCAGGGTCGTTGCCGCACCCGGACATACTTAGGTGAAGTCTTGGCTCTTTTGTGGGCCGCTCAACACTACTTGTCGTTCAATCAGGTCCGTGCCTTGCTGACTAAGGTTTTATGCTGCTTGAAAGTTTGTGCTTTCTTGCTTGTTTGGAACCGACGGCTGCTGGCGCTTGTGCTGTGCAGCCGATTCTGTGCGCTGTCTGCTTTGAGCCATGCGCACCGCAAAAGCCTACTATACTGGTAGGAGTACGAGTACGAATACCAGTACGAGTACGACTACTACTACTACTACTACTAATCCGAGGTGGCCATTGTGGTTTCTTGCCTTCCAGTGCCCCTTCGCTCGACATCCGGCTGTTGGGTTCGGGGACTGGTTGAGCCAACGGTTTCCTGGCTCTTGCCCTCAGCAAAAAGCCGGCTTTTACCTTGTTTGTCAGCCGTCAGCCTTTCTTGCGCCCAGGTACAGGCCTTCCAATGTTGGTTAAGCTTGTCCTCCTTGACACTGAACTTTAGAAGACCATGGCTGAGGTCGCAAGCTTCCAGTAGGCCCCATGCTCGGGGCCGCCACAAGACAAGACCTTCCACTCTGTAGGACAGGGGTTCCTTACCTGGCGGGGAAACACTGTGACAGAAGGGAACACAACAACCGACCATTCTACTTGGATGCCATCTCAGCGTTGGCAGGCACTTCCACCAGTAACTCCCTATGCATGAGGTGTGACGAAAGGTCAAGGAGTCAAGGATGCTGCTGCCAAAAACACAATGTACATATACATATATACAAACATATATACATATATTACTATTGTAGTTTTAATTTTCGAATTGTCTTTCCATTTCTCCGAGTCTCTCACTTCTCGTCCAACTCTGAAGAGACCTTGGTAAACTACTCACGAGAAACGCTCCCTTTTTTGCAAACCCCTAAAATGAGGCAAACTAGTTTGCTTATTTGTTGCCTTTTCGCTGGACTTTTTTATTTTTGATCGTCCTTTTTCTGCATTCTGTTCACGAGAAAACGCAGTCGCTAAGCGAGCACTTGCGAGCAGCTTTTTGCTTTGCGCATGCTTCGGGAATGAGTGTGGACAAACAGTGTGGAGAGAGTGTTGCGAACGGGGTTTCCACAACAAAAGACAAATTCGTGACTTGTGTGAAAGGAGGAGTTTGAGGAGCAATGTCACTTATTAACACCTGACTGCTTCCAATGCAACTGATGAGCCAGAGTCCACACCAATTGACGCAACGACATTGCCCATGGCCGGAAACTGAAGCTTTCTGCTTTCCACTGCACGACTGGGTAATGCGGTATTTGACATTACTGTAGCTTCTTGTTACTAGTAGTGATGCACTTGTTTCTACTAGCTTCTTGTTACTACTAGTAAGGCACATGTTACTAGTATGCTGCGACAAAAACATATCTGTCGACTCTGTGAAAGTCGCTTTCCACTCTATTTCTTCCTCTCCTTTCTGACTTTCAAAGTGTAAGCTTCTTGGGACCTCTATTTCAAACAGGGTACCTTTTTGAGTGCTCAAAGGACTTCACTTTTGGTGAACTCTTGCAAAAACACCTGTAGAATCTTTTTGCTTTTGAAAGGACCTCACTGTGGAACCTCTTTGCTGGGTCAAACGCATTTCTGCACAAGTTCCCAAAGGAATGGACGCCATGCCTAAGGATCCCATTTCGGAAATGGAACGTTGTCCGATTCTTCATTCCGCGTTGAACTTGTAGTGCTTCGGCGCAAGTCATAGATGTTTGACAGGCATGACAAAAGAATTGTCATCAAACTCATAGAACATGGTCATAGTTTCACTATATCCACTTGATGGAGCTGCTTCTCAGTCTCTTTATTGCTGGCTGATGGTTGCAGCGGGAGAGTGAAACGTGAAACTAAATGCCGAACTCAGCCACCACAGCCTTAGTAACAAGAAGCTACTAGGGGCTCCTGGCATCGCTACTAGGAGCAAAGGACGCTACTAGTAACAACACAAATGAAAACAACACTGTCGCCCCGTGGTCCACCCCCCTCCCCCTCGCCTTCCAATCCAATGTGCCAGGTTCAGGAGCCACACCATCAGATCTGACACGAAAACAAAACCTACTAGCCTCCAACCTACGGCCACAACCTGACAAGTTGGACAATTGGCAACAATTGGCAACTGCACTACGACAAACGGTCGCTCGTCCAACTGCGTTTGACCAAACTGTGCCCAACTGTGCAGTCTGCTCTCGACATCTCGGTGAGTTGAAGAGTTCAATTGAGGCCATGGAGGCCATCGTGAGCTATCCTGCGTCCATACTAGTAGCTTAAGTAAGGTACTAGCTACCTAGCTACTTGCTACCTACCTCCACTCGCAGCCTACCTACCCCGGGTTTTTCAAAATACAATTGAGAACTTCTTGCGATGAAGTACTTCAAGTAGAGAACTTCGTTCTCTTTACTGCGACGAAGCGTTGCGACGTGAACTGTTCCAGCCTGGTGGAAGGCCGGCCATTTCCTCGCGTCTTTCTCCTGCGTTTCTTCTTTGGGGCCTGGTGAGACATCAAAAACATGAAGAATTTGCAAATGAATCATGTTGTTTTGATGAACAATTATCTGCTATTTTGCACATTTTTTCACACTGTTTACTTGCACCAACCTCTTGCTCTTCGTCATTCACCTTGCTTCGGTGACGTCACCCTTTTCGGCAACACGTTCTTTCAACGAACATGTTTTTGTTCTTATTTTGCCGCAGATATTTTGAGTTCAATGCGGCAAATGACTGAGATGGAGTGGAACTGGAGGCCTCGAACATCACAACAATTTGAAGAAACATGGTTGGAGTCTTCGAAACCACAGATATTTCGGACGTTTCAATGTAGTGCGATATGCTGCCCCTCATGTGCAATTTATGTTTTTCCTTGTCTGGAGCTGGAGTTGCTTCTCCTCGACGATCCTCACAAAGCAACTCTTGGCTCATCTTTTTGACTTGTCAAAACTTTGCAAACGACGGAAACACAAACTTTTCATCTTTCCATTTTCCACATCTCCTCCTCGTCAAAGACGTGGACGCACGGGATCTCACTTAATCCGTTCAACGACTGAGCCGCCGAAGGAATCGAGAGATCCTCGCCCTCAGCGGCGGCCTCCGAAGCACCTCCGCAACATGACAGCCCTCCCTTTGCGGTGAAGCTGCACACCGGGAAAAAACAAACTCACTCAGAGTGAAGCACCCAAATCTTCCTGTAGCCAGAGCGTGGTAGCATGTGGTAGCAATTTTGGTTCGATATGGTTCAATGGTTGCAGCGTTGTTCTTCTTTGGCTTCCAGAGTGATGATCAAAGGTTTGAGACAAAGTTGAAATGTGCGAGATCGTTGTTTCGAGTGAAATCATTTACAATACACCAGTGTTTACATGTATACATACGCGCAACCACAGGTCTTTTTCCACGCGTTGCAGCTATTGTGTCTGAGAACAGTAAGCGTCGGATCGAAACTAAGAGGCCCCGACCCCCCAGGGCTGCGACTGCAACCGCCAAACCTGCGCCCCTGGAAAGCGGTAACTCCCCTCAGGTTCCCCAACCCCAACAGGTACGAAGGGGCTTTCACTGACCTGCACCCTTTCTTTCACGCAAGACGAAGAATCTTTTCCAACCTTTCCACGTCAGGTCCCAGGCTCAAGGATTGGGAGCTGCTGGTAACGATGGATATACGACCGCAAGCGCGAATTACGGTCTGTGATCTCGGACAGTTGGACTAGGCCGTTTTTGAACCGAAAGACGGTCAAAACTGCCGTAGTGCTGTAAAAGTAAAAGGTTGCACCGCCTCTCCGACACAAGTACGGTCCATAGGAAAGTTCATGATCCATCCAAAGTATGGTTGAACATACGGCGCCAGGCATGTGGCTTACTGGTCAAACGCGCAGCGTCAAACGCTCTCTGAAGCCTTGCCGGGCACCTGACTAGGTCATCCTGAGGGATGTGACGGTGAATGTCTTTGAAGGCAAAAATCTAAATTTCTTGAGAAAAATGAAACTCTCAAGGACAACCCGAACTCAGGAACTGTGGTTCATCACTTTCCACTTTCCACCCACAAAGAGCATCCAGAAGTGGCAAAGTCATAGGTGGAGCTCTATTAGATTTAACGGTGCTACATGCCTTCACCAAGTGCCAGTTTTCGGTGGCTTCTGGCGGAGGTTCGGGTAATGGTCTTGCAGAGCCGCTAGCGTATTGTTAGCTGTTCCAAACCAACCCAAGGTAGTCCCAACCAAGTTGTCAGTGTGTGCCATCTTGGTTAGGAGGCCAGTGGGTTTTCAAGTTTCTCTCGTTGCTTGTGAAGTGAAGGTGCTTGCGTTGCTGCTTACTGCGCGCCTCGATTACCTTCTTCGAGCCTTTGGTAGGTTCTTCTTCGCAGGCCAGCGCGATGGTTTGTTGGCTGGGTTCTGATGGGCGTCAATGTAGCCCCAGGCCCCATCAAGGCCGCTTGCAAGCAACAACGCACTTCCTCTATAGACTTCGATGCTGCTCTGCCCATAGCGGCTGACTTTGACATGGCCTTCATAATTTAAAGCGTCGGCAAGTTCGATCAAGCCCAGGCCTTTCAATCCTCCTGCGCTCAATTTTGACTAGTAGGGGGGCTTGGTGACAGGCCACGCCTCAACTGCAGTTGTGGCGCACGCGCAGGTCATGTCCCCAAAGTCATTACCAACGTCGCGCCTTTGGTCATCTTCACAACTCCATTGTTGGCCCCTCTAATCCGAGGGTGAGCCCTTCAGGTGCTTTGGGAGGGAGGTTGCTTCTTTCCTGCTTGGCCTCTCGGGACGTCCTCCGCTTCCTCTTGTGTCCCTTCTTGCGATGTCTCTTCTTCCTCCTCCGGTCAGCTCTGAGATGTACTGGGAGACGATCTGGATGCCTTCTTCTTCTTCTTCTTCCCTTTGGGCCTCTCCTCAACTTCCTCTGTAGCAGGCCTCAGGTCCGCTGCGGCTTTTTGACGTCAACTTTGGATTCTGGCTTGGGCTTTGGTGTGGTAGCTAAGACTTGTGGCTCTCTTTTGTCCTGCGGATGTGATTTTCTCCCGGAAGTTCTTGGCGCTCGGCGCTCGACCAGACTGAAAAGAACATGTCCCTGCAACACTCCTACGGCACTAATTTCCTGACGAAGGTGCTGTACTATCTCTCTCTCTCTCTCTGTCTCTCTCTCTCTCTGTTGTCTCTTCTTGGGGCTGTCGAGGCCAGGGCTTTCCTCTTCTTCTTCCTCCTCTCGAACCCTTTGAAAGGCCTCCTCAAGAGCCTGGGTGGCAAAATCCTTCTCCGCCACGGCAAATGATGCAGCATTCTGAAGTCCGTAGCTCCACAAGGAACTTCCGGCACTTGCAGCAGTGATTGGGAAGCCGGGTCTTCTACACCTTATCCCTTGAAGCCCCAATGCTGCGGTGGAAACATCAACCTGTGCTGTGTTAAATTATGGAAGCATTGGAATTGAACCATACATGTTTCGACGCAACTCCTATTGGATCTATACACTGGTTTGTTGAAGCCAGTTTGGTTTCCGACAGGCCTTGGGTTGAATGGGATAGGTCGGTCGATGCCGCGAATCTTGGTGGTGGGCACTTTGTAGAGGTAGAACTCCGAACATAGTTTTGAGTAGTGCAGCAACTTTATATTACGGAAGCCTCTCAAATTGACACCACATAACAACATCACATTCTCTGCACATAGACAGCCCCTTACTCGGGAAACAACCAAATAATACCCATGTACAACATTTCCTTCGACCGCATCGCCCCTTAAAAGGCATGCAACCGATGCAACCGTGTTTTTTTGGGGTGTCAAAAAGACAGCGTGCTCCGCTCGTAGTATCTACAGTAGAAACAAAGACACATGGGTGTTGACAGGGCTGCAGTTTTTGTGTATCAACAACAACAACAACAACAACAACAACAACAACAACAACAACAACAACAACAACAACAACAACAACAACAACAACAACAACAACAACAACACCCACACCCACAGCAGCAGCATGGTATATGGCTTCTGTTGCTTTCAGTGTTTCTTTCGCTCTGTGTTTCTTACAGTATGTGAGAATGGGCGTCTATCACAAAGCTTTGAGGAACCAACTCTGAAACTTCGACTCCCCATGATCGAACACCCCCAATACGTCTTGGCAACATGTTGGTTTTGTCAATACTAGCGTGGCACTTGTTACTACTAGCTTCTTGTTACTACTAGTAAGGCACCTGTTACTAGTAGCGATGCACTTGTTACTAGTAGCTGAAGACAAACACTCGATTTGTTTTCGGGATTGGGCCTTCTGCCAACCTTGCATCTTTCTCAGGCGTCTCCTGCAGAGATTTACATCTGCATCTGTCTGCGGCGCACCATTCTCAACTTCTCATTTCTGGCTCACTTGTCAAGTCAGTTTTTGGGATTAGGTTTGAACGTCAGATCTCCTTCTCTTCTTGTATTTCTGGAGGCGCAGTGAAGTATGGAATTCGTCCACGCTGCCAGTCATACAATACAATCCGAGCAGCAGTGTCAATGTCCTTAGCACTTCGAGCTAGTGAGCACTTCAATGTCCTTAGCGTGGATCACTTCCATTCGCTTCGACACACAGCTTAGGCTCCGCGTCTCCACCTTTCACCAGCTTCCCCATTTTCTTGCCAAGAATGGTCAAAAACTCTTCGCTGTCCTCAGCTCGCAACCTAGAAGCCTTCAATAGCGATGGCCTCCAAGCGAACCTAGAGGGATGGCCTCCAACCTAGTAGCGATGGCCTCCAACTACGATCTTTATCTTGACTGTCTCGACTCGGAAAAACAATTAAAGCAATGAAGGCCCGACCCACTTGCTGGAACAGTTTCGTTCCAGGTGGTATCTGCAGGCAATCTATATCGTTGCAGCAAGTATGGCTTTTTGACCCGCAATAGCACCTGAGCGAGGCATTGATGCCCGACACACGGCAGCATTTCCCAAAAAACCTACAAACCAAATCATTAGGGCAAGCGCTTCTTCAAGGAAGCTCCCTGCTCTCAGGCAGGGGGAGCTTGCTTGAAGAAGCCTGAGCCATCCTGCGTCCTGTTCCTAGGAGCGTCACATTTGATAGCTACCAGGGCTAATAGCTACCTCTTCTAGCGGCCAACCCGGCCTACCCCGCCCCTTCCGGGGCAAAAAACGGGAGGAGATATGAATTTCTGAATTTGGGTCCGGCCTCGTGGATGTAATCTGAAGGCGTCTTCAATCGCTCTGCCCGAACAACCCCTTTCAAGACCTCGAACGCAAAAAGCGGAATCCCCTCGGCTTGGAGAAAGTCTTCGATTAAACTGAGAGGATCCAGAATAGGAATTCTTCCACAGATTGGCTTTGACTTTGACTCACTTTGTGTCAATTTGCCGCCCAAAATGACCATCGCTTTTCATGGAAGTTGTGGCCATGTGTGGGTGCACTTTTCCATGACGTTGAGTTGTACATCACGTTTCAAGGAGCTAAGCTTGCAATGAAACTGTTGCAATTTCTTCACATTTCTTCTTTGCTTCCTCGACGGTCGTGCAAGCGACTTCCACAAACAAAAGACACTTCATGGAAATGTGTGATCACACCTTCTTAATCGTTTGAGATGGTCCGACATGGCAACACATGACTCACATCACCATTGCATGGCCAGCTGCAGTTCGATTTTACGGCAAAGCCAAACTTTTGATGACGGGAACGGCTTTAGAGGGTCAAGTTGGAAGAAAATTGCAGCGTACATTTCAGAATTGGCCAGATTCCGTTTGAGGCAGCGGACTATATGTTCTTGCTTGCACACCAAGCAGTGCTTATACCGTTCACAACTACTCTAGCGCTCTTGACGCTATCTTGCCCCAATCGACCAATGTTTGCCTATCTTTGGGAAATATTGATGCAACTTGGGGCTCTTGAAGCGATGTTGCTTGCTCGGAGCTTTTTTGGGGTGTTGGATCTTGGGGCCCATCTTGGCTCTGTGGAACCGAGAAATGCAAAAAACCGCTCTCAACTGGTGATTGAGGAGCTTTGGCGCAGTCTGCGTCGAAATCGCTGGCCGAAGGAGGGACGATGCCAGGACAGTCAAGGAGGTAGAGTTTCCTGAAAGCAAACAAATCTAACAATTAGTTCCTAGAAGCTACGATTGTAACTCTCAATCGGACGCAAGCTACGTCGGTCCACCCGTGTCACTCCCCGTCCTGGTGAGCGCAATATACTGCCAAACTTTGGTCTCACCAGGGACAGGGGCAGCTTTACACACCTGACCCGAAAGGCTTTCACCATTTTGTAAACAACGAAGCAGAACGACATTTATGTTTCTGAAACAAACTGAAACATTGCGTCTCACATGTGACTGATAGCCTTGGTGTCACCATTTTGCATTTGCAAATCCACTTTTCAAGGCCCAACGGTGAGGGAAAACGAAGAGCAAAAAAACGTCCAAAAGTTGGCACTTGCAAAACCCTACTAGCGTAACAAGAAGCTACTAGTAGCAAGGTGCCTTACTTGTAGCAAAAACTACTAGTAGCTCCTGGCATTACTACTAGGAGCAAGGAAGCTACTAGGGGCTCCTGGCATTATAGTAATAAGAAACCCTTTAGATTTCAATTCTGATGCCAAACATTCACACAGTGCCAGTGTGATAGTGCATGATGTGATCAACGCGATCTGTGCCATGTTTCACATTGTGTCTCACATGTGTTTCACATGTGCTTCAAACATATTTCGAACGTGTTTCTAACGTGACTTACATGTGTCTCACATGTGTTTTACATGTACTCAGATGTGTTTCACATGTGTTTCAATTGTGATTCTAACGTGACTCACATGTGTCTCACATGTGACTCATATGTCTCTCACATGTATTTCGAATATGTTTCACATGTGCTACACATGTGTTTCACGTGTGCTTCGTTACTTACATGTGTTTCAAATGTGTTTCATGCGACTTACATGTGTCTAACATGTGTTTTGAATATGTTTCACATGTGCTTCAAATGTGTTTCACATGTGACTCACATGTGTTTCACATGTCACGCGGAGAGTTGTTGTTGGACCCACTAAGAAAAATACAATATTCTTTTGAATTACTACTAGGAATGGCCTCCAAGCTACTAGCGATGGCCTCCTTTCATGAATCTTTTTGTGAGTTCACTCAGGTGCCGTTTGCAGAGTTAGTTTCTGTCTGGGGTCTATGCCGGTGTAAATCTTCTTCTCTACAGCTTGTTTCTGCTCGTTGCTTACCTAGTCACCTACCAATCACCTGTAGCGCCGCGCCAATCGCATCAAATTGCATGACCAGTCTCCCGAATTGACCCCGATACGCTTCACCGCTCGTCTCGTGAGCCGTGTTACACTCCACACTGTCCTTTACATCGCTAGTAGAATGGAGGCCATTGCTCTTAGGTTGGAGGCCATCGCTACTAAGTTGGAGGCCATCGCTATTAGGTTGGAGGCCATCGCTATTAGGTTGGAGGCCATCGCTATTAGGTTGGAGGCCATCGCTATTAGGTTGGAGGCCATCGCT